CATTCAGAAATTAATGTGTCTCCTACTGTCATCTAGGGATACAGGTAAATATAACATGCACCAATCTGACTTTTCAACATAGCTTCTGTTACTCCCCTTTCAGATTAGCTCAGACTGGACTAAAGTTTGGGATTAAATCTATGTCTTCCACCCCTGATCATTTATGCTCCAATTCATCAATACCACATTACATAGTCAGACTCGCATATCCTGGAGGCTAAATTGGAAATGCTCTTGAAAACAAGAACAGGGATTACCATCTAGCAATAGCCTAGTGGTATTATCACTAGACTATTAATCCAGAGACCCACATTATGATCTGGGGCACCGGGTTCAAATCCTGTCATGGCAGATGGAGAAATTGGAATTCAATAAAAATCTTGAATTAAGAAACTAATGACGACCACAGTCCATAAAAAAACCTGGTCCAATGTCCTTTAGGGAAGGAAACTGCAAGTGATTCCAGACACACAGCAATTGGCTGTGGCAGACCTGAAGATCAAAAGTGTGGGACTATTTGTAAGTGAGAATTTGAGTTCAAGTTATTTGGTATTATCATTCCTCCTCTTCTCTTCCTCCTCAGTTGTTCACCATAGACCTGGTGGCCAGATTTGTCCCCTCATGATGCTGATGTAATGCAGCATGCAGATCACAACAAATCACTGTAGACAGGCGACAGTTACCACCTGGCTTCTCCAGAATGTCCCAAGCAACAGAAATATCTTTTTAACATGTCAATACTGTGCTTCATCACATGGAATTCATTGCATCCATGTTACAGGTACACGGATTATGCACAGGAATCACGAGCTATATTTTCAGCAGATGACACTTCAAGTTGAGTAGTTGATCTGCTGTGGTGATTCAAATACAGTTCCCACAGCAGAATGAGAGCATCATGACCGGTTCCAAGATTAATCTGATAATTGCCTACAGTCACACACCCGCTGGATTTAGAGAGAGTAGAACTCCCATTGCAGTGCATGCTTAGTGATGTGTGCATAGTCAACAGCACCCTGCAGCATGGGAAGCCTGCCATCCTAGTAAAGCTGTGTGCTCACCCTGCCTGCTGGTCTGTGCAAAGTGAGAATGAAATGTGGGTAGCTTTCTGGGAGTAGATAGCTTCAGTGACCTCTTATGTAAGATTAGACAGCAAATTAGAAGATGTGCCAAATATCTCAGCTCAATTCTAGAAGAAACCTGGGGCATTTAAATTCATCACCATTGTCACTTCACAACCACTGGTGGTCCTTTCCCTGCTCCGAGGTTGCAGTTAACAAATGCAGGATGATAGCACCTAGAATACAACCAGCAACTAACCTTTATATTGTTCACAATCCCTTCAAATAGCATTAGTGTCAGTGGATGGAATGGGTTTTTCCTGCTGCTGAGCAGGCATTTAGCAAGATCAAGAGAGTATTTGGCATGGTACACTGATCCCTGATCGTTTCAAATCACTTATGCTGCTAATTAACAATGATTTGATTTATGCATACTTCCATCATATGTTAGTGACATGCATGTTAACTGGGATGGAGTCTGGTGCGATTCACAGAACTGAGCATGACAGAGCACTGGATGCCATTTTGGGCTCAAAAAGCACCTGTGCCAACATCACCATGCCCAAATACATGCCCTACCTTTTTCCTTGGATATCCCTGTAATACACATCAAGCTAGACCAAGCATGTGGGAATTGGTTTTCATGGTTTCTACTGATACTACTTAATTTGGGTGGAGAAAATTATAAATACAAAAACATTCACTCATGTCCAGTTTTCTACGCATTCCCATTCCTGCACTCCCAAGTCATAACTCACAATGGGAAGACAATCATTATGACATAGAGAAAGGCCAAGTGACCCATCACACTTCTGCTGGGCCTCTTAAGGAGCACATCACAAACTGCCGCCACCCCACCCATCGCTGCATATTCCTGCTTAATAATTAGTCCCTTAGACACTGACCTCTACTAAATGCAACAGATCCTTCCCATCCATTCTATCCACACCCCTCACAACGCTGGATTGCATGATCCAATCTCCCCTCAACCTCCCCCAATTCCAAGGAAAACCAGGAACAAAAACAAAATTGCTGAAAAAGCTCAGCAGGTGTGGCAGCATCTGTGAAGGAAAAAACAGAGTTAACGTTTCGGGTCCAGTGGCCCTTCC